TTTTTTTTTGTCGAACGATAAATTTGACCTGTAGTGACATATTTCATGGGTAATATCGCCTCGTCGACGCGTGTTTTTGCAATAAAACCAAGAAAACTTAACCACGAACCGTTACCAACCAGATGGACCAAGTTTGTACAATTTTCATGGAAATTATGTTTAATTTCAAATAGACGTTTCAATGAAACTCCACCAGCTTCGATTATGGATGTTTTCGCAAAATCTGGATTAATAAATTGAATAAATCCATGCGAGGACAAAAAATTCAATACATTTTTCGAAAAAATATGATCAAAAGTTGCGGCTTCGTTTTGCAAATAATATGCTGTTTCACTGACATATTCGATCAAGTAGTCATATGTCAAGTGATGTGGATGAACTTTCGTCGAATTTATACCAAAATTAAACACAATTTCAGGTTCATCAGGTGTATTTGATGATAATTTATTCGGAAGTTCCAAAAAGTCATTATGGAATTGATCATTTTCATCACATGCACTCTTGAAATCAATACGAAGTGCTCGAGCTTCTTTCAAATATTTATCAATGATCGCATCACATGTCCCCTCAGTTTTTGATTTTGAAATTAGCAATTGCAAATGCAATCGCTGCTTTTCGATAGTTTCTAAACTGAATTTTGAGTTTTTATATTTTTGCCATTGGTCACGTATTTGCTTTATATTAATTTGAGTCTCGAGGCCACGACGCGTGATGTTTTTTTCTAATTCAATGGGATTTCCCAAGCGATATTCGAAATCGAATTTTGGATGTAAAGTTTTAACATTGGACCACGAATTTTGCTTTTTTATATATAGCGCTTGCACAAAACGCCGCGATGTGAAAATAAAACATTTTGTTTTTAGAAACATGTTGCGGTTGTTATTGTACGAGAGGACAAAGTGAGAGTATTTTTTAACCTGAAAATGTAAGTGTCAAAAATGTCGTGACATTCAAACTGTATGGGTTTGAACCCTGCAAAAATGAATACAACCATGAAATGAAAAAAAGTTCATTTTAATTTTAATGAATAAATATTAATTTGTGTTGAATTCAAACTCTATAAATGCAGAAAATGTGTACCACACAAACACATGATTTCGCTGCGGTCGACGATTTTGTCATCGTGGATTCGGTTTCAATGTGACAGTTGCAGACGTGTGTTGAACATGTAGTGTTGTTTACAAATTGGCGCGCACAACGATAGATTCAAAGCGTACATCAAGATACGATTGTGATTCAAATATAATTACTATTTTTTTAGTATAAATAACAGCGCCAAAAAATGTTTTTGTGTGGCTTTTAGTATAGCATTCAAAGAAAAAGGTATTCTCATATCCCTTGCATATTAGAATTTATATTCATTTATATGAAAGAAACTTTCTGAAATAAAATAATAAAATGGAACTGGTTAGTCTAAGACATTTGCTGTAAAAATTTGACCTCGTAAAACCCAATTCAGAAATAATTTCGAACTTGGCACCTGTTTTATCGTTTTTTTTTTAACAATTTCTATTACAACGACAGTAGAGATTTCGTTTTTGATAACAAGATTAATATTGTATTACATAATATTAATATTTACATTTGTATTACCAATCATCGAATATGGATCGGAAATATTGAATCCACACTACGACAATATGTGCAAAAAAATAGAGTCAATACAAAAACAATTTTTACTTTTTGCGCTGAGGAGAATGAACTGGGACAGCTATAGACTTCCTAAATATGAGCATAGACTGCTGTTTCTACAAATGATTACGCTTGAGGAGAGACGCGAGATGGCGCAAGTGTCTTTTATATTCAAAATTATTAATGGAGATATGAAGTCGAGCCATATATCAAACAGTTTAAATTATTATGATTCGCCGCTTTTTGATATACCGATTAGAAGAAGCGATTACACGAAGTATGAACCAATTAATTACATGCTTACTACACTAGGGGCAAACTACTTCACTTTCGTAATTCTCATAATTCAATCTAGTACTCCGATAATTCCAAAAAATTCTATATAATTCCATACAATGCCACATAATTCCAAACAGTTTTTGAAGTATTTTAAATAGTTGTTTATTTACACAGAATTTTTAAATGAATATTATTATTTCAACGATAATATTTTTCGATATTTTTTATATTTTGATAGATATTGATTGAGATGGTTCGTGACGATCGAATCAAGAATTTTTGACACTATACACTGAAGAGCGACACCACGGTAATTTTGAACGTTGTTTCTATCGCCGTTTTTGTAGACTGGTCTGACAAATGACGTTCTAATATCTGCGGGACAGAGGCAGTTTCAAGTGATTCTTTTAACAGTGTTGAGATTGGCCCCTGCAATGAAACCAAACAATGCTTGATGAATTTGTTTGGAATTTCATCTGGACCACAAACAAGATCATCTGGCAGCATGCTTATATGTTGACCTACAAGCTCCTCGGTTATTTCGATCATTGATATTTCAGCACAAATATCACGTATTTTTTCTATTTCTGAGCTGTCATATCGAAGATCACCTTGTAAAGAGCTATAAGCGGTGCCAAAGTGTTTTGCAAAAAAACTAGCAATTGTTAATTGATCGCTTGCTTTTTCATTCAAATAAGTCATCTCATGTGGTAAATCTTCACTTTTCCCTTTTTTGAAATTCACGTGCTTGAAAAATTTCTTTGGATCATCATCTATCTGTTTCTCCATCTCTATTCTGTAATCTCTGAGAGCTGAGCGTGCACATCGTTTATATTCTCTTCTTATTTCTCTGTAATGTTCAATTGATTCATGTGTGTTGAGCCTTTTTTTATTTTGATGTGCTTTGCTGACTTTATTCTTCAATTCAACCAATGATTTGTTGAACCACATCGGTTGTTTTCTGATGATTTTTGTCTTTAACTGGACATGAGTTTCTATTGTTGACTTAATAATTGCATAAAAATTATCCAGTCTTAACTCTAATGAATTTGTATCAAAAACATTATCCCAATTTACATCAAGAAGTGACTCATTTATTCGTTTATAATCTGCGTTGTTGAAATCTCTATATGTATGTATTGTTTCAGTTGTCTTTATGATTGGCTCTTTATATCGTATACTAATAGCATTATGATGCTTTTCAAAATTCAACAAATGAAAGTCGTTTATGGATTTTGAGTCGTTTTTGCTATGATTATTTTTGTTTAAAATTCCTTAAAAAAATAATTAATAATAATTTACTCAAAAAATGCTATTGCTCAAAATTTGGAGAACAATCGAAACCATTGTTTAAACTGATATAAAATTGCTATAAACGAAGAGAGAGATAATTTGTCAAATGTCTGTTTTCGCGTACATCTGTGTTTATAATTAAACAACTGCTTTATTTTCACTTGTCAAATGACCGGCAAATGAAAGCCTGAGCCCTGCTGAATATATTTGAATTCATAAATAGAATCATTTGTTTTTTATTATATATTTTAGACAATATTTTATAATATTGCCTAAAGGCAGGGCTATGCACTAGAGGGTTAAGGAGATAATGATAATGGTAATTGCATATTCGTCTTCTATACCAAGTGGTTTAACAAATTTAGTTCAACCACATTTAAGGTACTGGCCTAGAGATATTATAATTATTATTGTTAAATTCAAAAATCAAAACTAAAACTTAGAAGCTGCTGCATTTGGCTTGGCCTCAACCACATATGTATTGAATCCGTTGAAGTATATTTTGATTCCTGAATTTCGTCTGAATATTTCGGGAGTATAGCTCATGAATAATTCAAAGCGACCTGAAATCAATTAAAACAAAATGTATAATATATTCTGATCTACATTCATATAATCGAAATATTACCTTTGTATAAAATACATATAGCAGCGATGGCAAACGGGTTTCAATACTCTTTCCTCTTGATTTTTTTCTTCTTCGGGAGCATTCACCATTTCAACATCCATCTCACTTTCATCGACGACATACACTTCTTCGGCAACATCAATCGCGTTGTCAAAAAATAATGTAAATACGATTGATCATTTGATGATTTGGTTTGGTTTTGATCGTTCCACTTTTTGTTGTCGACGGCTCTTTTGTGTCACAATTATCACGGCAATTCAAAGGCTGGATCAGGAACAAAATTATGGCACGTCTTGAATCGATCACTTCTTGTGTGTTGTGGTCCACAGTCTGTGTCAAAGTCAAAGTAGTGGTTCTCGTGGCTTTGTTCCTCGTGGTCTGTACGTCGACTTCGGTTTCGGTGGCTGATTGTTATGCCATAGCACTTGGTTAAAGCAGAGTTGGATCTTTTTTTCTCCACTTCGACCAAAGAATGCGAAATCATTATCCTCAATGCCTATGTTCGTACGCCTTTTGCACCTCGAACAAGAACAGTAATGAGCCCAAAAAGCAAATTGAAGTGGCTTGCAAACTCAGGTCCGTTATTTTGCTCATCAGTGCTTGCTGGAATTGTGGGCGAATGATTGTCTTCAGCGCACATTTGATCGTTGTAATCTCATCCTTCGTTTCTCCCTTCGCTGGTATGGATGGCTTGAAACGATTCGCCATTTTCCTATTGAAAAAAAAACACACACATTCGATTTAGCTTGAAAACGAATTTGTATTGAATTTTCATTGATCCATATAATTTAAAAGTGACGACTTTTCACATCAAACAATGTTCGATCGAAAAAAAGTATATAAAAAATTATATACATTGAAAAAAAATGTGCACCAGCACTGAAATAGAAGCATTCACATGTAATTTGAAAATATCAACCGAATGCATAGATGCAAAACATACGATCAAAGTGAAAAATCCACACAAATATTCACATATGTTTCGAATTCAATTTGATCGAACGACAACAAAACACGAATCCATCGCTTTTTTTGGTACACACACAAAATGATGCAACACAGAAAAATGAAAAAAATCTTCGGATTGATAACAATGGCAGTGATTTAGAGAAAAAAAAAATTTAAACACATTTGATAAGCGAGTTATTGTTTCTCTTCTCTAAACAATGGAACCAATTCAAAATGGGTATTACTGCTTGAAATGAATTTCACCATCTCACGCAACAGAATTATGTACTGCAGAATAATTGTGAAATACATTACTTTTTTCATAAAATGTAATGTTACTGTTAATATGTTCAACGTTAAATAATTATTGGACTAGTTTAAATATATTTCACGTTACAAATGGCTTATATGTCGTGCTATGAAATAAGAATGAATCTCACAATAAGAAGGAGATGAATAACTGCTTAGAAAAAGCACGTAATTCAAATTTTGAATAAATCGTGTGTTCGCTGGCAATTTCTCATCAAAAATAATAATTTTTACCGATGAATCCACCAATATTTTTCACTTTAATTTTCTCTGTAAATTAAGTTTACTCACGGTGATTTGAATTCAACAATCTGCTTGGACTCCGGATCAATCGATCGATCAAGTGTTGAACAATTCGGAATAAATTGATACAAAACGCACGTATATCGAAAATAATATGAATTATTAACAAAATCGTAGAATAATTGAAACGTTGAATTGGAATTAACACTGCTGTAGTTTATGTCGTAAACTTGGTATTTACAACGATAAACATGTTCTCGGTATGGATGAAGCGGCGATTATGACATTACGAAAACCAATGAAATGAACGTCAAATGTCATAAGGCTCGGTTCATATCAATAATGCTAATTCAATATTTTGACATTAGACACATTTTGCTATAAAGAATTTTTTGCTTCGGGAAGTGTCAATATCATTCGATGCTTTGTGTAAATGTCATGATTTGTCTTAGAATTTTTTGCACTTTTAATTAACGACTACCATTTATTTATTTTTTGACTACGGAAACACTCTATTATACATTGGAATCTTGGTTTAATCGTTTGTATCTCCCCCTAGTTATTTATCTTAATAAAAAATCTATTCCTACTGAAACATTTTTTTTACGTCTTTTTCTTTTACTTTCTCGATAATATAAAATTTTTGAATGAAAATATTGGGTGTATGCATTAATTTCCGGACTCAGACATCAGATGTCTCCACTTAAAATTGTGTGTAGCTTGACAGGTGAATCCAATTGCATTTTGTACATGTGACATTTGCCAATCTAATTCAGAGCAGAAAGATTTATTTTTGACATAGTGTCATTATTTTCTGATCGATTCAAAATGAGTGATGAAAAAGTGTTTTTCTGTTTGGTCCTCCTTTGGTTCAATTTTTTCACTTTAAATAAAGTGAAAATACATCTAAAGGTTATAAAATGTTGCAGGAGACGAGAACTCTCATTTGCCACAGGGAATGTTGAATTTAGTGAAAAAGAAGTGGTGAATTTGTTGAAAAACTGTGAACTCACCAAAAAAATTGAATGATGGGCTGTTGGCGTTTTAAATTCGATAAAGATGCATGAAAATGCATCAGAAAACATCAAAAGCATTAAATATATGCGAATCAATCGATTTAAGACATTTATAATGAGGTAAGACCAAAGAAATTGTGTGCCACCCCAGCTGAATCCAAAACTAGTTGTAGTTCCAAAAATAAGAAAAAAAGAAATTTTTGTATCGTATTGTAACTGGAAGTGAAGGGGGCATCTGCTACGATAACCCCAGGCATAAAAATAAGGGTTCACTCCCACACAATGATCAAAATCGACAGCATAGCAGGATTTTGATGATTTCTCGGTAACGCTATTTATTTGTTGGGGTTAAAGTGGTGTGGTGTATAATGAGCTGCTCAAACAGGGTGAAACTGTCATGGGGGATCGGTATCAACTACAACCAATACGTTTGAGCAGAGTACTGAGAGAAAAATTGAAAAAAACTGCGACAAGAAATAGTCGAAGGATTTATCAAAATTTGACATATTTCAAACATCGTCAAACAAAAGATAGAGGCGTTCGGTTGGGATCGGCTTGGTCACCCCTCGTACTCTTCAGACCTTGCTCCTTCTGATTATCACTTGTTTCGATAGATGCAAATTGGCTTGTCCGAGATATCGTTTCGAAATCCTGAAGGAGTGCGAAAATGGATAGCCTCAAAAGATAAGGAATTCTTTCGACGCGGAATCGACAAGCTACCAAGAAGATGGGCGGAAGTCATAGCAAACGATGGGCAATACATTGGTTAAAGTACTCATTCTTATTGTTATTAAATAAAGTTTGTTTTTCACCAAAAAAATCCGAAAATGAATGCATACACCTAGGGTGGGTCAATTTAAAAACTTCAAACGCCCCACGCGATTCTGGTACTTTGGACCATAACAAGTATTTTTGCCCAAGGAACCATACCTCTAAAATCATTTTCGAGCCTGCCCATTTTTCTTGGCAGTTATTTTCAAAAATACTGAAAAAACGACCAATTTTGTGCATTTTAAATATAAAAAAAATTATTGAAAATGTGTATACGGGGGTTTTTTGGGTCGGGGAATCCATTTTTCATATTTAATTTTTTTTGGACTGCCGCCAGGGGGCGTTTTTATGCATTTTTTCACTTTTTTGGGGAAAATTGGCGAAATTATGGCACAAATCGACGAATCTTTGACTTTCCCATATTTAAACTAGCCAAAAATATTCATTTTTTTTCTCTTTGAATGAACAAATATATTTTTTCTTTATTTTACTTTATTATTTTATTGAAAATTCAACTTAACTTAAGAAGTATAAACCAGGAGGTAGACACAAAAGAGAATGAATGAATACCAATGAATTGTCATAATACCTATCTAATTTCAAATACGACAATTACTTACTTATTTAAAGATTACTTGTACTAGGGGGTAGACACATGGAATATTACTTGAGATACTCACCGAAATTGAAGGCATTCTTGGTATTCTCACTTTTAGACGAAATATCAATGCATTCAGCAACGTCTCATAATGTGCATATGAATCGTTGCGGAGAAAAAGTGGCTCTTATTTTTCTCCAAATAATACTGCGACATAAAAATTTTTATGAATAGTTTATTTGTTGTATTACAAAATGTGTACGTTTCATGTGTACGTTGTGTATGACATTTGCTAGGCATAAAGCGATCGCAGTATATTTCGGATGAGATATTTTATTGTTAAAAAATGGAAAATAACGAATTTAATTTAATAAATATCGAATAAATTGTTTCGACTAACGCTTTATTCCTAACAAATTTAATACACAACGTACACATGAAACGTCATTGCACTGCTGTTAGAATTTACACAAGTGTGTATTACTGCGGATTAATATGTATTACTACTCGCAACATAGAATTACTTTAAACAAAAATTATTATTCTGGTACTGCTCTGCCCCTAAAATTTTTTTCTTCAAAATTAATTTTTTTTTTCGAAAATTTTCGATTTTTGGAGAATTTCTAGATTATGGTACACGGGGTGTTTTTCAACAAAGATACGTCATAATAATAATAATAATAACTGCACCGAACAGCGTTCCTTCGCCTTGGTGGTTTATTGAATATATTTTAAATAAATACAAAATAATTATATTGTTACATCTAGTAGTTTTGAAGGAGATTAATAATTTTCTCAGTATGTTTTCTATTCAATTCTATCTATTTTGTTTTAAATATTTTTCAATTCTTAGTTTGACTGTTGATAAATTTAATTCTAATTCAATTAAAGTAGTATCACTGTTTGGTATTTTTTTCGTATAATAATCATTGAATGTAGTAAGCATGTAATTAATTGGTTCATACTTCGTGTAATCGCTTCTTCTAATCGGTATATCAAAAAGCGGCGTTGCACGGGTATTATGCGCTGAATCATAATAATTTAAACTGTTTGATATATGTCTCGACTTCATATCTCCATTAATAATTTTGAATATAAAAGACACCTGCGCTATCTCGCGTCTCTCCTCAAGCGTAATCATTTGTAGAAACAGGAGTCTATGCTCATATTTAGGAAGTTTATATCTGTCCCAGTTCATTCTCCTTAGCGCAAAAAGTAAAAATAGTTTTTGTACTGACTCTATTTTTTTGCACATATTGTCGTAGTGTGCATTCCATATTTCTGATCCATATTCTATAATTGGTAATACAAATGTAAAATAAAGGCGTTTAATTGTCCATGGGTCAATAAAATCCTTGCTGTAGAACTTTAGCCAAGCCAATCTTGATTTTGCTTTAGCCGTGACATGCTCAATGTGTGATTTGAAATTCATTTGCCCATCAAGCAATACTCCCAAGTCCCTTATTACAAAGACTCTTTCTATTTGAACGCCGCCTATGTTGTAATTGTATTCATATTGCAGTGATCCCCGATGATATGATATGATCTTTGTTTTGTTTACATTTAATTTCAATAAATTGCGTCCATAATAATCTGCTACACGATCCAAGTCATTCTGTAGATTTATGCAATCATCGGTTGAGGAGATACATTTCGAAATTTTTGTATCATCAGCGAATGAAAGTATACAAGAATCGCTAACGACGAATGGTAGATCAATAACAAACATGATGAACAAAGTAGCGCCAATTGGATATCCTTGACCCGTCCCAGATGTAACTTTGATTGGGTCAGATTTGGTATCTGCTATCTTTACAATTTGTCTGCGACCAGACAAGTAAGATTCGATCCATTTTAACAGCTGTTCATTCAGTCCCATGATTTCTAGTTTTTGAATAAGCAATTTTAAGTTGACCGAGTCAAAAGCCTTGGCTATGTCCAAATAGATGGCGTCTGTTTGATGTCCTCTCCCCATGTTATTAATTGTTTTTGAAGTAAATTCAACTAAATTTGTTATCGTTGACCTGTTCTTTATGAATCCATGTTGACTTTCGTGGATTATGTTTTTCAAATATAGATTGAGATGGTTTGTGACGATCGAATCGAGAATTTTTGACAAAATACACTGTAAAGCAACACCTCGGTAATTTTGAACGTTGTTTCTATCGCCGTTTTTGTAGACTGGTCTGACAAATGACGTTCTCCATATCTGCGGGACAGAGGCAGTTTCAAGTGATTCTTTTAACAGTGTTGAGATTGGCCCCTGCAATGAAACCAAACAATGCTTGATAAATTTGTTTGGAATTTCATCAGGACCACAGACAAGATCATCTGGCAGCATGCTTATATGTTGACCTACAAGCTCCTCGGTTATTTCGATCATTGATATTTCAGCACAAATATCACGTATTTTTTCTATTTCCGAGCTGTCATATCGCAGATCACCTTCTAAAGAGCTGTAAGCGTTGCCAAAGTGTTTTGCAAAAAAACTAGCAATTGTTAATTGATCGCTTGCTTTTTCATTTAAATAAGTCATCTCATGTGGTAGATCTTCACATTTCCCTTTTTTGAAATTCACGTGCTTGAAAAATTTCTTTGGGTCATCATCTATCTGTTTCTCCATCTCTATTCTGTAATCTCTGAAAGCTGAGCGTGCACAACCTTTATATTTCCTTCTTATTTCTTTGTAATGTTCAATTGATTCAACTGTGTTGAACCTTTTTTTATTTTGATGTTCTTTGCTGACCATGTTTTTCAACTCAACCAATGACTTGGTAAACCACATCGGTTGTTTCCTGTTGATTTTTGTCTTTAACTGTACATGTGTTTCAATTGTTGACTTAATAATTGTATAAAAATTATCTAGTCTCAATTGTAATGAACTTGTATCAAAAACACTATGCCAATCTATATCAAGAAGCGACTCATTCATTCGCTTATAGTCTGCATTTATAAAGTCGCGATATGTTTGTCTTGTTTCAATGGTTTTGACGACCGGCTCATTATATCTGATTTCAATTGCATTGTGGTGCTTTTCAAAATTCAATAAATGATAGTCACTTATTGTGCATTGAAACAACTCAACATCATTTGTCCAGATCATATCAAGCATACGACCATTTTGGTTGTAATTCTTGTTAATCTGGTGAAGTCCCAGTTCATAGCAAGTATCCAGCACTATCTTCTCTTTTTCACTGGCTGCATTGATAGCAATTGCAATGTCTGGGTCCTCATTCTCGTCAACAAACCAAATCAATTTGGGCAGATTGAAGTCACCAGATACTATTAAAACATCTTTTTCACTCAACTTTGAAGCTAGTTCTTTCAAAGCATACATGTTGTTTTCATATACTTTGAGAGTTGAGTCTGGTCTGATGTACAATTCAACCAAAAAGATG